AAACCCCAAAACCCCAAAACCCCGTTAATAAAATTTGATGAAATTAAGAAATTGTTTAATAAATAAAAAAGAATTCTTGAATTAGTATTATTAGATTTAAAATCGTTAGGGTTTATAACACTAAACGGATTGGAGATAAGTCTGTTTAGCTTAGAAGACATAGTATTAGTCGATCATATCTCTGATCTTTATTTGGTCTTCATTAACGAGAATCGAATTTTATTTTATGCTTTTTATTTTAGTTTATTCTCTAATTCTCTTTCTTCTTCTTCTTATAATTATCTAGCAAATAACTCATCATCTAACTCTATTGAGTTTATAGTCTCAGACTCTTTAATTAAGTACTCTTGTATTGAAGGGTTATTCGTTAAATCTTTAATGTTATAGCTTCCAATTTTTCCTTCTACAAGCTACTCTAGATTTGAATTACTTATTGACTCTATCTTTATTCTTTCAAAAAAGTTGAGACTTTCTTGACTACTCAAAACAGACTAAAGTTTCTATACTTATTCTTAATGTTTTTAAGGCAAGGATTACTTTATAAAGTCAAAATTCTTCTCCTTAGTTTCATCAATATCGTTTATATCTACTTCTCTTTTAAATTTCAAATTTTTATTTTTCTAGTTCTCTTATATAACTTAAATATTTGATGGAACGCCAAAATTAAATTTCTCCTAAGGATCATTATGAGATGTTGTTTATTTCCTTGGCGTATTAAGAAAAATATCCCCAAACAGCATGTTCTGGATTACTATCTTTTAATCCGAAATTTCTTGCTAGAGTTCCTTAATTTTATTCTTTTTACCTTCTAACTTTTTTTAATACTTTTCTTTTATTTACTCATATTTATTCTCAATATTGCAGCTTTATTTTGACGAGTTAGTACCATCGATGGAATTTCTATTTAAACCAGTACCAATTTTCATGTTTTAATTCAATTTTTCTTGTTCAAGATTTTTGATTCTATCATTAAGCAATTAAATCTCAAAGTCTTTATTTTAAAGTTCCTCTCTTAATTACTTATTATCTCTTTCAAGATTGCTTATTTTTTCCTCCTGAATTTGATTTTGAATTTAGTCCTGATTATTATTTACTTAATTGTGAATAAGATTTTGGATCTCGACATCATCCTTATAGCGAATGCATAAACTTTTATTGAAAATATTTTTGAGCTCTTTGTTTCCAATTATAGCGCAATTTTCTAATTTTTAGAAATATTCTAGAAAATCTTCATTCTAAAAGTTTTCAAGATTTTCGAGAAACATTTTAAATTAAGCCTGAATTTAGACTTCTTGTGTTTAATCCCATTATTATCCTTAATTAAAGCAATATTGAATAATTTGCAGACCTTCACCACTATTATGAGGTCCCTAAAATTATAAATTCTTTTTACATTTTGGAAACGAGTGAGGATTCGATCTAGGGCACTATAAGTAAATATATGTTGCACAATTTCTGATATTAGAGAAAAACTTGACATATTTTTCAATTTAAAATCGATAACCTTAAGGATCAAAGATATCTATTTCATCAGAATCTTTTGGTACTATACTTTAGCATCTTACATAGATGAATAGACAAAAACTTTCGTTACCTTACATGCTTATAGTTTTAGCTACTTCTAGAAGCTTTTGCAGCTGCTTCTCAACGAGATCTGTATATTTTCCATTCAATTATTACTTGCTTTACTGATTAATCGTAGTGACATCGAATTATTATTATTTCAAAAAAACTTATAGCTTATCACTATTTTCATAGCTCTCAGAAATATTTTCAATTTACAGTCCTTTTCTATATTGATTGAACTCAATTATTAAAGCAGCCTTATTGATTTTTAAAGCAGATTCCATTTTATTATATAAAATATTTTTTTATTTAATACCATTTTTGATCAATTTTTTATGGAATAACTCAATAAATTTGCAGCTTGGGGTTTTGGGGTTTTGGGG